AAATGGCCACAGGACGGGTCTGTGGACCCACTGGCCCACTGAGTAGAAGGTCCATGGGTCACCTGACCTCCACCAGCCCGTGGTCCATGGGCTTTTGTCTCCAGGAACTTGTCAGCCCAGAGCTTGGACCCAGTAATGCCCCCAAGGTCATAGTCACTGGGAGAGTAGCCACAGGTCCCTTGAGGAAGCTGGGAGAAAGATGAACAGTGAAAGATTTTGTAGCACAGTGGAATCCTTTCTCAGCCTGGGGCCTGACCAGGGCTGTGACTCTGGGTTGGTAGTGCCAGGGGGCTTGGTTGCAGTCCCTCACTGATATTGTCAGCCAAGATTCCACTGGTTGCCTGTTTCTTGGTCCTGGGGACACTGTGATCAACTGGCCAAGACACAGTCTGCAGGCCAGGCCGCTCTGATCACTGTCCATCCATCACCATCTCAGTAATTGCCTGAGGGGCTCTCAGCTGTGCCCTGGCCAGGACATGTCCTGCCATCTCTGAAGGTCACCATTCTCTCCTTCCAAACACCTGCCCTGACTGGCTGTGCCCCTATTCTCCGATTAGCCTTGACATTGATGTTTGAAGTATCAAAATCGTACCTCACGGGGGTGGGGGGAGGGGGGAGAAATGACCCAAACATTATATGCACATGTGAATAAAAAAAAAAAATCGTACCTCACACTAACCTGAGCTAAGGGCAGCCCTGAGCTGAGGTCACTACAAGTTGCCCAGCCACCCCTGTCCATGCCAGGGACAAGTCACTGCTCCCCCAGAACCAGCCCAGCAGTGCCCAATAAATGTGAGCTGAGTGAGCAAGCGTGCAGGTGGTGGGATGGCAGGATTTGGGAGCTGTATTAGTCTGCTTGGGCCACCATGGTGAAGGAGCACAGACAGGCACTTAACCAGGCTTTTGCAGCTCACAGTTCTGCAGATTGGAGTCTGAGGCCAGGCTGAAGCTGACCCAGTTCTTGGTGACAGTCCTTCCTGGTTTGCAGAAGGCCACTTCTTGCTGTATCCTCACATGGCAGACAGAGACAGGTGTCCTTTCTTCTCTCACAGGGCCACTGATCCCATTGTGATCGCTCACCTGGTCACCTCCCAAAGGCTGCCTCCAAACACCTCACAGCTGTAGTTGCCAGAGCAGACACAGTGCCTGGCCACTCCACCCCACTGCTGAGGCCCTAGTTCCCAGAAGGGACAAAGCATGATGGGGAAGGTGGTCCTCAATGTCCAATACTGGGGAGGTAACAGTTCACAGTTCTGAGAGGGATGGGGCCCAAGCAGCTATGTCCAGTGCCCAAAGCCCCTAACCTGGTCTGAGGACAGGCTTGGCTGCTCAGAAACCTAGGAGGCTTCCTGAGGGGCAAGTGCAGCCTCCTGGGCTGTGGGTCTGGTCCTGAGTGCAACCCTGCTGTCCCAGGCATAGGGTGGTCCCTGGGCTCAGCAGAGGCTGGAAAGCAGCTCCCAGGGCAACTCAACTATAGGGGACAATTTCAGAGTCTGGGCAAAGGGAGAGAAAGCCAGCACTGAATTTAGTACACTGAATTGCCCTGAAAGGTTTCTTCAGGCTCTGAGCCCCACTCTCTAGCAGTTGACAGGGGCAGGAAGGAAACTAGCTCTGGACACCCTGCGTGTGCTCAGGTGACAGGCCGGCTACCCTCCCTGAGTGGTCATGTGTCAACTGCCCTGCCAGACCCCTGCTGGCCAGACTGGAGCCCACCCAGGTCCCAGGCGTCAAGGCTACTACTCATCTCTGAGAAGGGGATATAAGGGTCCTCTGCCTCTTAGGAGGACAGAGGCTGCCCCCTCCTGGCTCAGGGGAAATAATCTCCCACCTGGAAGGCCTGCTTCTAGGCCAAAGTCCTCCCACCTCCCAGCCCACCAGGGCTTCAAGAAGCAACTGTCCAGGTAAACTGAGGCCAGGCAGGAACAAGCAAAAGTTAGACAGATAAACCTCTGCATGAAAAGACAGCCAGGATGAGTGGGTGGTGGGTGAGTGGGTGAGAGGATACTCCGGGGGACAGGTGGCATCATTGCATGAGCTGTGTCCTTTCGTCTGTCTGGTAGAGAAGGAGCTGGGGAGTGAGCGAGGGGGAGAGGGGCCAGGATCCGAAGGGCAGAGCCAGCTGCCAAGGCTGGGTGGTGGGGGATGGACAAAAGCAAGCTATGGGATAAAATTTACTTTTGGGACCATTTTGGGTTTACAGGAAGGTTGTGAAGATGGTAGAGTTCCCAGAGATCCTACACACAGTTGTTCTGTTGCCAGCTGTGGGGATATAGAAGAAACACAAGGTGCTCCTCCACCGTACTCTCAGTTGGGGACACAGCTGTGACCTAGCATAGCCAGTGACTCTCGAGCAGATTCCAGCCAGGGCTCCCTAATGTAATTCCCGGCTGAGAATTTCTACCTGGCAATGGTGTCAGATCTCACAGGTAAAGACTGCATCCCCCATCCTTTGCAGGTGTCAGTCACAGTCCAGACTGTGACCTGTGAGTCTGATCAACTGGATACGAATCAGGGTTCACACAGGACCCCCCCGCCCGGGCCAGGTTTGATTCGGTTGCCGGAGAGGTTCACAGAACTCAGGCAGACTTGCTTATGCTCACCCATTTGCTCTAACAGACATGGCAAAGGATGCCTGTGACACAGACACAGAGGGCCAGTCACCTGGGAAGGGGCAGAGCTTCCATCTCCCCTCCAGGTTCCTCCCTTGTTCTGGAAGTTCCCTGAACCCTGTATTTCTGGTTTTCTTTCAGGGGCAGTGTGTCATAGGCATGATGACTACATCATTAGCTACTGGAGACCAACTCAGCCTCCAGCCCCTCTCCTTCCTAAAGGCAGGGATAGGGCTGAAATTCCCAACCCCCTAATTCTGCCTTGGACTTTCTGGTGACCAGCGCCATCCTGAAGCTACCTAGGGATCCTCAGCCACCAGTCAACTCATGCAGAAGACACTCCTGCTACTTTGAAGACTCAAGGTTTAGGAGGCCAGGGACCCACACGCAGGTCACAATGTCATATCAACATCTGACGCTGGCTGTCACAGTTCATCAGCCAGTCTTCATGCATTTTTATTAACTAAAACCAAACCTCAGTGTTCCCTCCCGTTGTTTTCCTATGCCAGGACCCACCCACCCACCCCCTTGAGGGGGATTTATTTGGAGTTCTTCTGCACTGGACATTTGCCTCTTATTCTTCACTGATTTATGTGTTCAGTCACTTAGCCTGTATTGGTATGGATTCACAGATGTGTGTGTGTGGTTAACTGTGGTTGGAACTCAACTCTTTGCGCTTGCTAGCAGGCACTCTACCATTTCAGCCACATCCCCAGTTCTTTTTTGCTTTAGTTATTTTTCAGATAGGGGCTCATGTTTTTGCCAGGCCAGACTGGACTGAGTTCCTCCTACCTGTGCCCTGTATGTAACTGGGATTACAGGAGTGAAAACCATCGTGCCTACCCTCACAGATCGCTTCAATATGGTGCATTCGAATCCAGTGCTGCTCTGCTTGCTTTGTTGCACAAAATTCTTCCAGCTCTGGCCATCAGATCTCTTTGGGCTGGATCCTGTGACAAAACTATTTTTAGTCAATCATTAATTATTAGATGAAGGGAAAGAGAAGAAGCTGTCCCCAGTCGTAAGTAACCAGTTATGCGCGCACACACACACACACACACTCACGCACCCAAGTCTGGCATCCTGGAGAAAGGCTGGCCTGCAGTGGGCCTGACCCTCGGGACACTGCTAGTGGGTAGGTCTGGAGTGGGTGATCGGTGCCCCTGGGTCAGCTCCTTGGGTCGAACCTGGTGCTTTGGTGCCCCCTTCTGGCTCCTGTGGTTAGTGCAGCCCTCTAGAGACCTAGTGAACCCCCCTCCCCAAGGTGCCCAGAGAAGATGGGCCAGACACAGGGGCAGCAGCTCCACCAATAGGCCGCTTTCTCTTGCAGAGGGGTGCAGGAGTGGGTGAAAGGCCTCCAGGGGAGCAAGGGTGGATGGCCCCAAAGGAGGAGTTAGGATGGTGGTCAGACCTGGTTTCAGAGAGACTGAACTGGGCCTTCCCACCACCTCAAGAAGACAGTGAGGCCACCTGTGCACAGTGCCTGGCCCCACAGAGGTGCCAGGGAGCGGTGCTGGGTAGTGTTGGGGACTCCTCTGCTCCCAGAGGCGAGGCTGCCTGGGCGGCCTTTTCCATGCAGCTGGAGAAAGACATCTCCAGGAGTGAGCCAGGGGAGGGGGCGAGCTGCTCAGCTCTGCTGGACAGACACAAAGGCCAGTGGGCCTGATGCACCCAGACCTTCATTTCATATCTGTGTGCCTGCCTCACCACACCTGGAGCAACACGGAGCACACAACAGCTGCCCTGCAAACTCAGGACAGGGTTCCTGGGGTTGAGAGCTTCAGAGGGGCTCCCTGGGAGGCCAGGAGGGATGAGGAATTCTGAGGGCCACTGCTCTCTGGCAGAGGAACTTCAGAAGGGCTACAGCAGTGACCTCTAGCATCAGCCTTCCTGAGAGGGGTGCTCCCTGCCTGGGCCATCTTCCCAATACCAGCACTGGTGGTTTTCTGGGAAGGCACTGAAACTCCCAACCCCTTTTCTGAAATTCAGCTGTCAAAGTTTCAAATGGACCCTCCCCTAAATTCTTCCAGAGATTAGTCCCCAGGTAGCCTCACTTATCCACCCCACTGCAGGGAGCTCCCCTATCTCCGCCTCACATGACAGCTCTAGGAGCCCCACAGCTGCAGCAGGTCAAGGCCACACCCACCCCAGGGGAGGCCCCAGTGAGGCCTCAGATATCACCAAATGCCCAGGTCTTGGACCAGGCTGGAGCTGCAGGAGGTGCAGGAACTAGCCTCTCTGACCCTCTCCTTCCTGCCTGCCCTTCTTCCGGGGTACCCTGCCACTAGCTGTAGGGCATGTTGACAGATGGGCGGATGTGGCTCATCTCCTGGGCGGGCAGCTGCGGTCTGAGGCCCCCACCCAGTGGGAAACCACAGTGGTGGAACAGAGCAGAAGAGAGGGAGGAGAGTGACACAATGGGGCCTCGGAGTCGAGTCAGGCTTGCCAAATGTCAGATGCTGGGCACCGGCTTCTTTGTCTTGGTAACAGGCAGGAGGGGTGGAGTGGGCAGGTGGGCAAGGATGGGTGTGGTAGGCCATGCCCAGGCCTTCAGCACTGTGGTCACCCCTCCACACACGCACCAGCCCTACTGCCCTAATCTGTTCTGCAGAATTGTACTAGGGTCTTCAGTGGCCACCTCTGACAGGCGGTGGACATTTGGTCAGGATGCCCCTATGGGTAGCAGCTCTCCTCCCAAGGGGCAGTGCAGGGCCTGAAAGTTCCAGGGTGGTGCCCAGGGCCTTGGGTGGCCAGTGATCTTTGGTGGAGGAGGCTGTCAGGGAAGGGGTGCTGGTTGCTAGGTTTGAAGACCTCTTGCTACTTCCCACCCTGGGGGACTCTTATGGGGAGGGGCTGGAGGCTGTAGGGTGCTGCAGATGGGATGGTCCAAGGTTCTGGGTCCTTGGGGAAACTGGGCCATAAGTGTATGTGTGCAAGTGTGTGTTTGCTAGTGTGCTGGTGGTAGGGTTTCTGGGACAAAGACCTCCCTGAGACCACCCTAGAAAAATACCCGTAACTCTCTGCAGTTGGTTTGTCTCATATAAGACCAGGAAGCTTCAGAGGGTCTGGTTGGGGGCTCCAGAGCCCACACCCTGCCCTCCGTAGATGTGATAGGGGGCTCTGTGGTCATGCCCCACTCCCACGCTCTGGGTCTGCCCCATCTCCAGCTTCTGGGCCTCTCTGTGGCCACCATGGCAGCTTTCACTCATTTTGGGGACCAGTTTGCTGTCATCAGCCACGCATCTTTGGAGAGGAATCCATACCAGGCCATGGACCACTGGGGTAAGTGAAGTCAGGGCTGGCTCTTGGGGGTGGAGGGAACTCAGGGGTGAAAGTGGCTAGGGAGGAGATCTGGCTTGGGCCTAATGTCCCTGGGTCCCCTTTGGGCAGGAGCTAGAGGATCAGGGTCAGGGAAAGTATACTTAATAGCTCCACTAAGTAGAGGCTGGGGCTCTGGGGTGTGGGAAAAGTATGGGTGTACGGCAATGTTGGGATGGAGGTCTGTGCTATCAAGACAGAGGCCCCTCTGGGCTGGGCTTGGAGGGGCCCAAGACACTCAGCAGTAAGACTACAAGGTTCAGAAGGCTGAGCAAGGGCCAGGCCTGCCATGTGGCCCACGTCCATGAGAACTTTAGCGAGGGAGTGTCCAGGCAGGCATACAAGGGATCCAGGAGGAGCTATGAACCAGCCCCCAGGCCTCCTGCCTCCCAATGCCCCGAGCACCTGGGAGCAGAAAGCCCAGGGCCTGGGCCTGGACTGATAAACTCACAGCCCTACACAGCCACCTGTCACTAGGACATTGTGGTTTAAAGATAGTCCCTGAAGCAGGGAGGGCAAGACAATAAATGGAAAAGGAGGGTGGCCCTGCTGCAGGCCCAGCCTGCTCCCCTCCTCCTCTACTGAGCCTTGGGAGGAAGGAGGTTGCTGGGCAGCTGCGGGCACAACCCTGACTGATCGGGGAATGTGGTCCATTCAGAGCCTCTCCAGAAGTCCAGCACCAGCCTGTGACCCCTATCTCAGGCGCCCTCAACCATTCCTCCTCTTTCTTTCCAGCTTTCTATGTGGGGATCAGCCTGGCAGGCCTGCTGAGCCTGGGGGCCACCCTGAGTGCTGTAGCCACAGTAAGGGAGGCCCAATGCCTCATGGCTGGGGTAAGTTCTCTGTGTCCCTAGGGTCCCCAGGCCCCTCAGCCCCCAGACAGGGGTCAAAAGCTAGAGGGGCGCTAAGCCCACAGAACTGCCTTACCCCAGCCCACTAAGAACCCAGACTAAAGCAGAGGCCCTAGGGATTTGGACCAGCCAGGACCCCCACACACACACCTGGATTGGCCAGGAACTCTCCATCTGGACCACACAGGACCCTCTACCCAGACCAAACAGGACCCTCCAACTGCAACTAGGAACCTCCGCCTAGGCTAGTCAGGACCTTCTACCCAGGCCAGTCAAGACCCTCCACCCAGACCAGACAGGACCCTCTACGGGTCAGCCTGGACCCCTCTACCTCACTAGTGCAGACCCTCCACAGAGGCCAGCCAGGATCCTCCACTCAAACCAAACAAAACCCTCCACCTCGACCAGCCAGGACCCTCTACCTGGCCAGCCATGACCTTCCTCAAGGGCCTACTTCAATCATCGATGGTCCTACAGGAGCCCACTTTCTTCTGTTACCCAGAAGGCTCTAGGGATGGAGTTTGAGTGAATTCTACTTCTGTGAGGAGACCAGGCAGGGCCAGGGTAGCCCGTTTGCCAAGGCCTCCAGCCTTTCTCCCTGCTGAGCTTCACATTCCTTCCCAGATACTGAAGGGGTCTCCCTGGCCTCAAGGTTTCACAGCCCTGGACCCAAACCCCTTAAAGGTGGCTTCTTATTGTTCCTGTATCTATTTCCATGTGAGACCCTATCATGGTCCCCACCAGCCATCAATAGTCATCCCAATTCCACCTACCCACCAGCCCTTGCTCCCCATAGCCACTGTCTTTCCAGTCCCTCTTCACTTGGGGCCGTCCCCTGTCACCTGAGCTGGAGCACCCCTCCCTGGTGCCCCGGGCATTCACCTGCCTCTCCATTTCCCACCAACAACCCTCTGCCCCTGTAAACCCCTGTCCTGCATACTGGCCTTCTCCACCCCTGCCTGTGGGTGACCCTTGGGAGCCTGGCAAGGGTGGACTTTGCTTCCTGGGTGGACTGTGAGGCTGGACTTCACTAGGGATCCCTGAGTACAGTTTCCTGGGCCCAGGCCTGGCCAGCTGGCAGCCCAACCTCCATGTCCAGCACACACTGGGTGATGACCCCTGGTCTCCAGGGACAGGGACACAGTCACTTCCTGGGGTTCCTACAGGGGCCTCCAGTCCTGGATGGGCAGAGAGCAAGGTCTGGCCACTCCAGCCCCATTAGTGCTCTGGCTTTGGGGACGCAGGAGAAGGGCAGAGACAGTGTTGGCCATGAGTAGGCACTAAAACCGGAGAAGTCTGGCTTTGGAATAGAGAGGGAGGCCCCAGTGAGGAGGTGACATAGCTGGTGGACTGTGCCCCAGAGGGCATGTGCCCTACCAGAGGGACACCTAGAGGGAAAACAAGGCCAGGCAGGAAGGCCTGCAGGGGACCCACCTCCTGAGAGGCTCTACACCAAGGCTTCATATTGGCAGCCAGGGGGCGCAATGGAGCTGGGCTTGAGGCAGCAGTACAGGAGGTAGCAGATGGGTGGGCCACCCATCCCCACATGGATCTGTGCTGCCTGACTCCGCACAGACCTTCCTTCCCTAGCTCTCCAGGCCTGGCTCTGTTAGGGGGATAGGGAGCACCTCGTGGGGAGGGGTCGGGATCTCAATTCTGCATCCCTAGTAAGACTCAAGTAACCATTACCTGGGTTGGGCTTGTAGGCACAGCCTGTCATAGAACAGTTGTTTGCCTGTGCAGGGCCGGAGTCCCAAGGGTCCCTCCAGGTCCAACTCAGGATTCTGCATACCCAGTCCCCATTCCCCCTAAAGCCCAGCGTCCTCAGTCCCAGCATGGACAGTAAGCTGAGTACAGCCGTCACACCACCGGGAGACCCACCTGGCCTGTGCTCCCTTCAGCTGCATGCACGAACCTGTGTGAGTGCCTGTGTGTATGCACGTGCCTGTGTGCTTACGCCTGGGTGCGCACACGCCTGTGTGTGCACACCTGTGTGTGTACACATCTTTGTTGCTTGCCCTCGCCTGCCCCTCTTGCTGTGCCAGTGTGGCTGTCCAGGTGTTGTATGTGGCTTTCTGCGTGGAGGAGTACATACGAAGGGGGCTGGAGAGTGAGGAGCAGACTGTGGAAAGTTTGTCTCCCTGCCCCTTCCTGCCCCCGCCTTTTTCAGCCTCTTGCACAGGAAATGAAAGAGAGCTGGCCGAAGCAGCCCAAGGAAGTGATTTGAATTGTTTATGGATTTATTTATAAATTTTCCTTTAGAATGAGGAAAAAGAAAATGCCCACAGTTGGGCCTGACCCCCACCCAGCAGCCTGGGAAGATCTTGGGGAGGCCTGGGTGGGTCCACCACTGCCTAAGACCCTCTCTGCACAGAGAGCAAGCAGGGAGTGGGAGAGAGAGTGAGAGAGAGAGAGAGAGAGAGAGAGAGAGAGAGAGAGAGAGAGACTGATGCTTTCTCTCCCTCTCCCGAGAAATGAAATGGTTTCTGGAAAATGCTGGTCTCCTGAGCTGGCTCATGGCCTCCAGCCTGGGAGGCAACATTGAGCAATGGCTTCCAGATGGGGAAGGCGGCTCTCAGCCAGCCAGTGAAGGGAAGGAGGAGGGAGGAGAGGAGGAAGAGGAGGAGAAGGAGGTGAGGGAGCGAGGGAGCGGGAGAAGGAAGAGGAGAAGAAGCAGAGGAGGAGGGAAAACAGGAGCAGGCCTGCAGGGCTCTCTGCAGGCAGGGGTGAGCAAGGGAATGGAGGCTCGTGGCCCCTGCAGAACATGCACCCATGTTTGGGAGTGATGGCCCTGACTCTGTCCTCACCCCTGAGGAAGCTAAGCTACTGTTTCTTTATCCCTGCCATCCTGGCCAACTTTTGTGGGTCCCTTGCATCCTCCTGGGGGATCCCTCTGAGTGAGGCTCCTGGATCGCAACAACCAAGCCATGTTCACCCAGGCTGCAGATGGTCTTGGGGAAGCACCACACGTCAGTTGAGCCACTAGCAACACAGTGGGATGGGACAGAGTTGATGCAGAGAGTTGGACAGTCCCACCCAGGACCTCAGAGTACCAGGTGGACCTATGTGGATGTCGCCGAGATCCACTGTCCAGAGTGCCAGGAGGACACTCAGAGGAGAGACTCAGAAGGCTGGTTGCCAGATGGGACTATGGTGGAGCAGGGGGCATCTCCAGGGTTAGGCTGACTATCTGAAGCCATCCACAAAAGCGTGGGGAGCAGGTAATGATGTGCATTTTCAAGGGAGGGATCCATAGTATCCACCAGCTTCTGCAAGGAGGTTCTCAAATCTGGACCCTAACTGAGAGAAAGAAGGGAGAGTGAGGCACTGGTTAAGAGGAGGGAGCTCCCAGAGACGCTCTCCTCCAACACTGGGGACAAGGGTGGGGGATAGGCTAGCTGAGGCCACAGAGACTTGAACAGGGGTGTAAGGGCAGGACAGGGGGCTTACCCTGCAAGGAGGAAGGCCAAATCCTGTTGTGTCACACCTATCCCCTGGTCCTCCCACATAGCAAGCTGCCTCCTCATGGTTGTAAGTCAAGTCGAGCTGTAGAGGTTGGGACTCTCTGGAGATGTGTTTCAGAAAACCAAACAAAGGGCCTACAGAGGGTGCCCTGCATGGGGACAAGCCATTTCCTTATCTTAAAGAAGGAAGTTTCTTCTTCCAGAAGAATTCTAGGTACAGAGGAAGCTCTGCCCAGCCTCCCTTGGGTCAGTGCCCAATGGGCAGGGGTTCCCACCATCCTAGGGAGGGCCTACCATTCTTGGAGCAGGGGGAGTGGCACTGAAGTTGATAGGCCCTTGGGAGCCAGGCTGGAGAATGGGGGGAGAATTCCAACACAGGGTCCCCCCACTGTCTAAGCTGTCCCTGTCAGGCAGTGGGGAGCAGGCCGGCTGAGCCCACACCCCAGCGCAGCCCTGCTGAGGGAGCAGCCACCTGGTGCCCTGCCCATCCTGCCCTGCCAGAACCACACACTGCCCGCAGTGACCAGCCTTCCTCCCTCTCAGGGTTTCCTGTGCTTTGCCCTCGTGTTCTTGGTCCTGGTGCAGGTGGCCTTCTGGAGACTCCGCAATCCCACCCAGGTGAGAGCACTGTCCCCATTCTGCAGCAGAAGTGGAAAGGGCTGGGGAGCTTGGAAAGTTGCCCCCACCCAGGTTGTGTCCTTGGTTCACCCACCACATTTGCTGCCTGGGTGCAAGGGGCTAGGGTGGGCAGTGCAGAGGCCAGAGGGCCTGGGAGCGGGCAAAGGCCCTCTTCCTGGGCTGGAGGCAGCAGCTCCCTGGGGAGGGAGGAGAGGACCAGGCCTGATGCCCCCCCTCAAGCCCACCCTCCTGGAAGATACCTCTGGGGGGATGGGGAAAGGAATAAGGCAGAGGGGGAGGGAAGGCCCCCCACTTGGTTTAAGGGACTGACTGAAGAAGTAGAAGGTTCCAGAAAAGCATAAAGGGATTGCGATCTTGACTCAGACCTGGAGGGCAGGGATGACAGGGGAGTGGGAAGGTGCTTGGAGTTAACAGTGAGCAGGATGGCTCATTCACGGGAGAATAGCATCCTGGACGCTGACTGGCCTTGGAGGTGGGGCTGGCCTGGATAAAACCCAGAGACAGGGTCTGAGGATATCCACTGAGAGACCAGCACGTTGGAAGGAAAGAAGGCCTCCCTGGCCCCTAGCAATGGCAGAACTCAGGCCTCAGCCCATCCCCTAAGAGCCCAGACCAAGTAAGACCCCAGGGCAGCAGGGAAGCCTCCGGTAAGGGTGTAATTACACAGAAGGGGCGGGAGAGCCCAGCTGGTGATGAGCTGATTTCTTGGAGTCCCAGTGTCCTCCAAGTGTCCTGTTTCCCAAGGACCCTGCCCTCAACACAAAAGTGGCCACACAAGACAGTGGGGCAGGACCCACCCAGGCCTCCCTCCTGCTCACACTGTGTGCTTTCATGTGGACGGGCTCTCCCTACAGTGCAAGGATGAGAAGGGGCTCCAGGGTCCTTGACCAGAATTATCCCCTCTTTCCTCTTCCCTACCCAAGGGTCATCCCAAAGTGCCCACCCTTAGAGACTGGAGGTCTCCTTCTAGAAGAATCTGGAAGCGGGTCGAGTCCCCAGCAGCTGTGGTCCTGCCTGGGGAGAGCGGGCTGGGTCAGCATTTTTGGTGTTACATTTCCTGTCCACTGAGGGGTGGTCTGGCTGGTTGGAGGTCTGGGTCACAGCGTGGGTGGCCTCAGTCAAGACAGCTGCCAGGTACCAGACTTGCCTGGGGTAGCTGGAGCCAGTCCTGGTGCTCTGAAGCTCTGTGTGTTTACACCATGAGCCCAGAGTGGGGTTCTGGAGGGGAGGGGGCCTTCCAAGGGCCACAGGACAGAACCCAGCTGGGGCCTACTCTCTGGCAAGGAAGAGGAGCAGAGCAATGGCTCCCAGCCAGGCTTCTTTGGCCTATCCCAGCCCCACTCTCCAACCTCCACCCTCCATGCAGTTCATCCTGTGCCCTCACTGGCCTTCAGGACAGTTCTCTGGGCCCTGCCTGACGCTGGTGGGTTGGAACTTCCTCCTGGGCTCCTGGCCTGCTGGCCCATTGCTTCTCCTGTGGGTTTTGACTTCCAATATGGTCCGTGTGTGCACATCCAGGTCCAGCAGACACGAAGCCAGCCTCAGTGAAGGAGCGCTAGGCTTGAAGCCAAGGTCTGTGAGGTGCCCTTGCACAAGTCATTTAGCCTTCCTAGGCCTCAGTTTCCTCATCTGTGAAAGGCATACGGAGACCCCTGTCCAAGGGGCTACTGCATGGTGGGAATGAGCCAGCAGGTGAAGGGTTAGTTAGACTTGTCTGTGCCCCCCCACCCCAGGTGGTCTTTCATAACCTGAGACTAGTTCAGACCATCTTGCATGGGATGAGGCCATGTTGGGTATCAGCCCTGAGGCCGGGGGCCGAGCAGCCTCCCATCCTACAACCTCCCAGCCATTGGCCAACCCAAGCCAAACAAGTTTCCCCCTGAGACGACCATCACAGCCCCAGCAGTGGCCCAGAAGGTGACAGTTTTCAGCCACAGGGCTGAAACTGTGCATACTGGTAAGGCTGAGGTGGGGCTGGGGATTCAGCCAGGTCTGTTCACTCCATTTCCCCTCACATCACCCCATAAGGAGTTCCTAAGATATCCTGAAAGAAGAAGTCAAAACAACATGTCTGAGGCGACCTTTCAAAGTGGGGGACAGAGGAAGAAAGGGACCTTGGTTGTCTTAGTGGAGCCTGGCCTGGGATGAGAATAGGGTACCCTCCCTCTTTCTCCACTCCCACCCTCCAGGAGGCCCCGCTCACGGGGTTCCCCAGCTGACACTTCCCAGGATGCTGGGGCCTTGGCAGGAGCCCCAAGGTTGGTGAGGGCAGCGATGTGGACCAGGCTGCTACGGGATGAATACTGAGTGCAGGGCTATTAATTATACTTTTCACCGCAGCCCGAGCCACTGCACCACAACTCTGCTGCTGTCCCAGATGAGTCTGCATCAGGGAAAATGGATTGCTTGGCTCCCCTTAATAATTCATGCCTAGATTAAGCACTGTCTCAGAATGGGCAGGCGTGTCCTCGAAGCTCCCAGCAGTCCAGCTTCTCTCTAGATGCTCTGGCCACCATGCCACTTGGTTCAGGGTCAGCCCTCAGGTCCTAGTGATGGTCCAAAGACCACCTGCAGCTCCCCTTGGGGGTCCCTCTACTCAGCCCAGGGCCCATCTGTGCCACCCTGAGGCAGAGGGTGGAGGCGTGGGGTGTCGCCAAGCCCAGGAAGGTACCGGGATGTCCTAGTCTTAGGGATAAATCCAGGGGGACACCAGGCCTTAGTCTAGCTATCTGAGAGAAGCTGTCTGATGAAATAGAATTTGGCTGCCCAGGAGCCCCTCACCAGCTCTGTGGCACCAGATCCTTGGAGGGGAGGGGTGGACAACTGGCGTATGAGACTTGGAGCCAACATCTAGCAGGAAGCTCTTGGCCAGGGTTTCCCTTTTCCCATGAGAAACACAGTCCTCAGGCTCTTACAGAACCCCCAATCCCCTTAACAGGGGAGGTGGGGAGGAGGAAGGGAAAAGGAAGGGGAAGGAGGACAAGGAGGGAAAGGAGGAGGAGACCACCTGCATCCTGGCCAGGTGAGACCCCAGGGGCCTGTAGCTGGGCCCTGTTGGGAGAGTCCAGCCTGGCCCCCACCAAGACCAGGCTATGGGATCAGGCCCAGGGCTCTTCATCCTCAGTTGCAGGGAGAGACACTCAGCACAGCTGAGCTGAGCAAGCCCCTAGAGGTGATGTCAACCCTACTGACAGGGGTGAGGACTCCCCAAGGCACATGGGACATGGCAGGACTAGCCTGGGAAATGAAGTTGTTGAAATTGGGAGGGACAACCAGGAGTGTTCTGAGCTGGCCTGCTTGGTCACCTGCCCCACCCATCCTAAAGCTCCAGGGACCTGCCCCCCCCAGCTATCCCCAGGACCTGCCCTGGTGAGGCTGAATGGACCTGAAGGACTCAAGGAAGCTGAGGCTGTGGCCCAGGCCCACCAGTGGCCGAGGCCAGCTTGGTGCCTGTTGCCAGGGCTGGGTGGCAGGAGGGGCTGTGGTAGGCTTTGAGGGATGACTCACAGAAGGACATCTGATTTTTGTGGCATTAATGGGGAGAGATTAATTGATCCCAGAAGCAGCGTTCAGCACAGAAAGCCCATCTGGCTTCTATCAGGGCATCCCAGCTTGGGTAGGGCTGGCCAAGCACCTCCACTGCTCACCTGACTATCTGAGGCCTACAGGTTGCTGGCAGGGCCTATGTTCTGGACTGAGTCCCAGTGCAAGGAAGGCCATGGGGTAGCTACTTTTCCTTTCTGAAGGGCAGGTGTGAGCAGCCAGAGCTGGTGCAGGTCCTCCATTCATCTCCCAGCCCTTCAGGGCAGCCCCTGAGCACCCCTCAGTGCACCCCAGCTGTCAGTATGGAATGGGGTTGTTAAAAGGAGGTGGGGAGGACTCAGAATCTCAAGGCAGCAAGTGGGTTATCCGAGGGCTTACCTGGACTAGGAGACCAGCAAGCCCTGAGCCCTGGGGCAGTCAGGGCTGCCTTCCTAGAGGAGGTATGATTCCAGTTTGTCTCTGAAGAAACAGCTGGCAAGGAAAGAGTGTTTTGGTGGGTAGGGCGTGAGCAGAGGTAGGGAAGTGGTAACCAGGAGGCAACAAGGTCTAGGGACACTGGGTGTGCAAAGAAGGCAGAGCCAGCCAGGCACCCACCACCAGCTCTCTGCTCCTCTGCCCTCAGTGGCCTTGTCTGCCTGGGTGCCCAGGGCTCCCTTACTTGGAACCCAGCTGTCCACACTTCTGATGGTTCTCTGAGGGACATCTCTGAGCATCTCTGAGTGACAGACACTTCTCCCCAGTCTCGGCTGCGCTCCTCTCACCAGCCCCTGAACACTCCCAAGACAACAGCTGAGGGAGGGCAGCAGAGCCAGGCTCTACTTTATCCCTTAACATTCTCGGGCAGCAGGAGGGCCACATGGATGGCCATGGTGGGACAGAGGCCTTGGAGGAGGACCGGCTGCTGGGACACAGTGCCCTGCCTGCCAACAGGAGCTCCATCGCAGGGCGAGGTGGCCTCACTGGGGTCTCCCCACCGGCCGAGACCTCCCATGGTGCTTTTCATGCAGGTAGAAGATGCCATGCTGGACATTTATGATCTGGTGTATGACCAGGCAGTGAGGAACCCATCCAGCGCCCGGTGGCAGGAGCTGGCCGCCATTCAGGACACGGTGAGCTGGGGACAGGGCACTGGTGGCCAGCAGAGTGTCAGCCTCACTGTGGCTGGGGAATGGGCACTAGATGGCCCCAGGTCAGTCATACCAGACAAAGCAGTGAGGCGGGGTGTCCCAGGACACAGGCCACTGCTGCGCCCTTTGGGGCAGTCCTCTCCCTTGGTCCTGAATAGGACTGGCTGCCCCAATTGTGGCCTGGTGGGAAATAAAAAGGCAGGGCCTGTGTTCAAAAACAATGGTGAACTCCCAGACAAATACAGGGCATGAAAACTAGTGGGTGTTCCATCTGCTGGGTGGGCAGCACAGCCTTAGAAGCCCCACTATGGACAGGGAGCCAGCCCTTAGTTTTCAGGGAAGGCCACCCAGGGGGGCAGGCTGCTCCCTCACCAGGGCCAAGCCACCAGTACCTGGTACCCCAGAAGCAGCTGTGACATCCCAAGCCCTAGTCTTGCCCTCTAGTGGGCCCAGATCTGTAGGACCACCCAGGCCATTTGTCCTTGTGTTGCCTCAGTTTCCCCATCAATCCTGCCCACCTCATGCTACTCTCTGGTCTGGCTTGTACAGTTTCTGTGCTGTGGGAAGACATCTCCTTTTGGAATTCTGGGGAGTGCTGAAGCCAACCTGTGTCAGGGCAAGGAGGCAGCAAGACAGGTGAGGAGGAGGACACAGGGAGGAGGAAGAGAGGGGAAGGTGGAGGAGGAGGGAAAGGAGGAGAAAAAGGAGAGCTCCTGCATGCTGGCCATGCTAGACCCCTAGGGCCAGGTATTCCGAGCTCAACCCCAAGAACTCTCAAACCTCTTGGCCTCCCCAGGCCTATAGGACCTTCCCCAAAGGCTCAGGGAAGCTGGCATGAGCTCAGAGGCCACAGGTGTGATGAATTATAAGGGAGCCCCTATGGCGGCCAGCCTGGCCCTGGTTCCAGGTCTCTTCTGTAAGCTGGATGCAGGCCCATGCCCCCTCACTCCTTCCCTCCTCCACATAGCTCCCAGCTTGGGGCTTACCAAGGTCAGTGGAGACCCTGGCCTCAGAAACCTCTAGAAGCGGGGTCTCAGTGCCTACGACCCACCTACCAGGGTGGCCAGCTCTGTCTGGGGGAGGGAACAGATACTCTGACAGAGTTGCTAGAAGGGCATTCCATGAGGAAAGGAGAGGCCAGATGGTCAGGCTGGAACAGGTGTAGCCCTGCCACCTGGACACGAAGTCAATCCTCCCTTCCTTCTCTTCTACTGCCCAGCCCCCGCCCTGCTCCTTCCCCCACCCCCATCCTGGAAACAAGCCTACCAGGTCTCATGGTGCAATGTCTGGCGACCCTCCAAAAGCAGAGGAGAATGGGGAATGGCTGGAGGCCCAGCAGGAATCGTAGCACCCGCCCTGAAGGCCATAATGGCTCATGAGCCAGGAAGAGGCTGAGTCAGGGAACCCCAACTGCAAAACAAGGGCCATGGCCAACTGTAAAGGCCCCCTGGAGGAGAAACAGAGGCCAGCACAGATGGGCAAGGGCTGGGTGGCACGGTGTGTGTCTCCATGTTGTCCAGCCCTTCTTCAACTTCCTCTAAACCCCTATAACCTGCCCCAAAAAACAATGCCACCATCTGAGTGGCTCAGAGACCAGCAGTCGCCTCCCTCTGTCTGGAGAGAGAACTTCAGTAGGTGCCATGCTCTGGGCAGCATGGGCAGCCCAGACAGAACCAGGACCTCAGGACAGCAAGGGGAGCCCCCACAACCCTCTGGAGCTGTCTCCCTATTAGCCAGCACACTCTGAACGCTAAGGTGCCGTGCTCAGCCCCGGGCTGCCCAGAGGCCAGACTCATGACCCAGCACAGGATTTCAAGGCAGCACACTAGGAAGGCACCACCTGGCCCCCAGAACAGTGGCCCTGCAGTCCCCAGAGTCCAGCTCGATGCCCCTGGGTTTCGCCATTCCTCACACCTCTTTCCCAGAACTCTGGGTATTCTTCCCGGGAATGCGATGCACCCCGACTGCCATGGGCCCCAGCATTGGCCCCAGGAAGGCCCTGCAGCCCTGGGACTCCTTGGAGGCTGCTGGGGATCGAGCCAGGGCATGGTGGGGAGGGAGGGCAGGCCAGGGTGGACACCATGCGTGCTGCCTTCACCCAGGACTGCCTTCAGAGCATTGGGAGCTTCCTGAGGACACATGGGAACATCACCTCCACCCTCACCAGCATTGGCCTGGTCCTCATGGTATGTAGCACCCTCCCAAATGTCTTTTCCTTCCTCCATTCTCCTTGCCCTGCCTGGCTACCCTCCCAGATGGAGCGGCAGGGTGGGCAGCCCCGGGCTGCAGCCCTAGGCCAATGCTCTGCTCTTGGACATCACCAGGCTTCTCAGGGATGAGGGTGCAGAGATGTGGTAGGGGCTGGGGGTGTGCTGACGATCCCAGGGCATCTCTCTGTCCTCCTCCTCGCCAGGTGTACGCCATGCTGCTCAGTGCCTTCCTCTGGCTGGCCATCCGCTCTGGCTGCGGTTTGGACCGCAAAGGCAGATATGCCCTGACCTCACGGTAGGCCCCCAGCACCCACCACTTGCCCTCTCCCCGAAGGGTCCTGCAGCCCCTCAGAGCCCAAGGCGTCCACCTCTGCCCTCAGGCGGCAGGTTCCTGGCTCAAAGGCCAAGGCTGACTTTCCACAGGAAGCTCTTGGGGGCCTGGCCACATGGGACAGGGGAAAGCAGACCAACACTGAGTCCACTCTGTGGCCTATTGTCCCTGCCGAGATCTGGCCTCACTCTGTCACCTCCCCAGTAAGAAGATGGAGAGATGGGGGTTCAGGGTCAAGTGCAGCCCCAGGCCAAGATCTGTGATCATGGGGGACTCCAGGGTTCCCCTTGCACAGAATTAGGGAGGATCCAAACCCAGCAGCCAGGAAGTCCCTCTTGCTCCCACAGGGGGTGGTGGCCATGCTGCCAGCTCTACTCACCCACCCACTCACTCTGCCCTGGCCACCTAGGCCTTCCTGTCCAGCATCCTGTTCAGCCCCTCTGAAAATAGCTTCACCATCCCCTCCAGAACATTCTAGGACGGACTCACAGTTCCCTCTAGAACATTCTGAAGCAGCTTCACCATCCCCTCCAAGGGCCCCTCTAGAGTATTCTATAGCAACCTCAGTTATCTCTAGAATGTTCTATGAGAGCCTCACAGTGCCCTTTAGAGTGTTCTAGAACATTCTATGACAGCTTCACAGACCCCCCCAGAGTGCTCTAGAATATTCTACAATAGCCTCACAGTCCCCTTTAGAGTGTTCTAGAATGTTCTACAGCAGCTTCACATTCCCTTTGCTTCTCAGAAACCATGGCTGCCAGCCCCAAGAGCCCAGCCTCTTTAGACGCGCTCAGGGTGGACCTGCATCTCAAGACCCCTCTGAAGCAAAAGCTTTCGTCCACCATTGGGGTCCCACAGGACACTTGGATGGCCCTCCGCGGCTCCAGGGTTGATGCTGTGTTTCAATGCCTTGTCCTGCCACCTGTCTGCCCGCAGAGTCAAAGACACTGGCCATACCCCCTTCACATGATCCTCAAGGAGGAGATAAACCCCTTGGTGGGACAGGGACAGGGGCAGGGGCAGGGGACACCCAGCCAGGTGGACAGGCTCCATGTAGAGCGGTTGAAAGTCCTAGGGTAACTCACCGCGTCTGTGAGAGAGGATGGGAGGAACAGGAGCAGAGGAAGCCAGTCGGGGTACGACATCGCCACTTGCTTCCTCCGTGCTGCTTAACAAAGAACATGAACTTGATCACTGCGTTAGGTCTCATCTGTGACAAAATACCCGAGAAAACCAACTTAAGGAGGAAGGGTTTATCTGGGCTGATGGTTTCAGAGGCCCATCCATGGATTAAGTCAGAGCCCTCATTACCCAACCACGTCCCCAAAGCCCCACCTGTGAACATTGCCCTGGGGACCAAGTATCATGGTTCGTTCATCCCTAACAGCTTAGAGCAGCTCCCCTCACCGTCTCACCATTCTCCATCAGAGTCCAGGTGGGCTGGCCAGGTTCTCCATCCACTCAGGGTCTCACTAAGCCAAAAGCAAGGGACAGGCCAGCTGGACCCACTCTAGGCTTCTGGGAGAATCTCCTTCCAGGATGCCCGCTCTGGCTGCTGGAATGGACCCAGTTTCATGAAGCTGTAGGCTGAGGTCCCTGTCTGCTCGCTGGCTGCCAGCTGGGGTCACGCTCAGCTCCGTGAAGTCCCCTACTCCTCCTGTGTCCCCTCTGCCTTCAGAGGGGCAGGCGGAGTCTTCTTCTTACTTGTACCAGCCAGGGAAGCGCTCTACTTATATAAGGGTCTGGTGAATAAGTTTAGGCCTGCTGGATGATCTCCAATCTGAAGGAGAATCTTTAATTGTGGTAAAGAAAATAAAACCTGAAATTTCCTAACTTAACCCTTTCTAAGTATGCAGAACATTCTCAGTGCTGTGCAGCCACCCACCTCCAGAATGTTCTCATCTTCCCAACCTGAAACTATGTCCCCATAAAACACTGACTCCCCAGACCCCTTCCAGTCCCGTCCTACTTTCTGTCTCTGTGGATCTGGGGACCTCCTACAAGTGGAATCTTGTGTGTCCTTTCAGGAGTGGCCATTCTCACTGAGCACAGTGTCCTCAACATACACCCCTGTTGTATGTGTCAGAATTCCTGAGAAATCTTACCATATTTGCAGCGACCTCATTGTCACATGTCCCAAGAGATTACTGCAGGACATTGAGGGAATGGGTGAAATTTTAGAAGTCCGGGCTCCCATAGCCACTCTCACTGGATAGTCAAACTACCTGTCTGGTGAACTGGCTCCTGTTGCCTCTGTATGCTCACACAATTTACTCAAACTGCTAAGTCCTAGGGGACCCCACATTGGCCCAGCCTAGGCCAAGACCCTAATGCAGCCGGCAAAAGAACTTGCACAGAGCGAGGTGCTTCTGCCTCCCACCAAGACCAGCAAGGGATTCCCCAAATAAGAACTATCCTACAATGGGCAGCCAAAGGCCCCCACACCTACCCGTATCTACGACACACCCTTCTTCCCACACGTACACTTCCCAAAATAAGGAGCTCCCGCCTCAGACAAATCACTCCACACCTGGAAACACAAGGGACTCATCACCAAAGGAAGACACCTGAGTCTCCAATGGTGGGTGTTCTTCCTCTGGGTCCATTCTCCTCACCGTTCTGCAAAATCAACATTAAAGAAAGTTCCAGCAATGCGCACCATGCACAGCAATGGCGGAAAGAGGGAAGAAAAAGGAGGTGAGATAAATTCCATAAAATTCACACAGCAGACCAGTTTCAACAGGCGCTGCAAGGAGAAGGCTCATTTCTTCGCCGATCACTGAGCTGCGTGCGGCATGTGTTCATGGCTTGCCACCTCCGTGCCCCATTCTGGATTCCCAACTCTTACTCCTGAGGGCTGAGTTTTTGCTGGTCCCTGTTGCCATAGCCTTCCACCAACTTTTGTCACCAGATGTGGTAGGATAGGGAGAGACCCTGGACTGTCCAAGCCACCCAAAGTTTACACCTCAAGGAGACAGTTATTTTATTCTCTGATCAAAGCACTGCTTCATTTTCTGTTAAGGAGAGAAAGGCCTAACAGGACCAAAAGGCAAACCTTTGTGCATAGCTCCTTCCCTGCCATTCTAGGCAGTGGTGCTCCCATGTCCACCCCTCAGGCTCCCAACCTGTGGATTCTGGTTTTGAGAAAACAGTACTCTCCACTGGCGACTGTTGCCACATGCTGTAGGGTACCTGTGGCCCTAAGTGATACCCAAGAAACCAGCTCACCAACCCACAAGGTCATCTCCTTTGAGTACAGGGGTGAATGGTGACCCCACTTTGTTACGAGGCACCTCCCTAAGGTCTTAGGCCTTTAGCTACAAAATTAGTTTCTTGGTCAGAAGCAATGATAGCCAGTGATATGGCTCAGATACATAGCCTCCCCTCCCCCCATTCAGGACATTTAATCCCCCCCATGGGGGCCTAAGAGGGCAGAAACTTAATCGACTTTGGTGTTCAGAGGGAGGCCTTTGCTGAGTGATTAGGATTAAATAAAGTCATCAGGACAGAGCCCCATGTTTGAGGCTTGGAATTTATTTACTATTTATTTATTTTGGTTTTTGAACAGGGTCTCACTATGCAGCCCAGGCAGGCCTTGAACCAAGCCCCCTCACCACCCCCCACCCCCCACCTCAACCTCCCAGCCCTGGGACTATTGTGCCTGGCCCTGGTCTTTATAAAAGGAGAGAGACCAGAAGACACACACATGCTCCCCTCTTCTGTCACGTATTGCTCTGGGCTGCTGCAGGTCTCTGCCAGCAAGAAAGCCATTGCCAGAAGAGGCCCCTTGACCTGACACCCACAGAACTGTTAGCCAAAGTTACCTCTTTTCTTCAAAACACCCTGCCTCAGGTGTTTCATTGCAGTAATGAAACGTGAACTAATATAGAAAAGTGGTGCCAGAAATGAGGTCATGACTACAACTATACCTACAAATGTGGCGTTGGGTCACAGACTAGATTGGTCAGAGATTGGATGAGTTTTCAGGAACAGCTAGAAAAAGTCTAGGCTGCTATGAGTTGACATTACGGGTGAGTCCGGTGTGGACGCAGACGAAGAAAGAGCAAGGATGTCTCAGAGGTTGGTAAGTGGTCACTGATGAAATGTGAGCAGCCAAGGCTGGGCTGACGAGGATTCGGGTGAGAATGAAGACCCGACCGGAAATAGTTCTAAGGCCACCCTTGTCACATGGTGGCAAAGACCTTGGAAGCCAATTCCCCTGGACTTTGTGGAAGGCTAAACTTAAGAATGACGGATTAGTTTATGTGGTGAAAGAAATGTCATAGCGTTAAAGCATCCAGGCTGTGGCCTGGTATTATTTTAGTCAGATTTACAGTGAGACTCCAGAGCAACAGAGCCTGGCCAGGGAAGAGTCAGGAAAAACGGCAGCTCAGAAGGGCGCAGCCCAGAAACTCCCTGCTAGCGCAGATGAAAGGGAGCCTGTGGCTTTGCAGAGGTCTTTGTGAAGAATTGCTGGAGGAGGTCACTGAGTCACCAGCATGTTCCTTCACTGGACATGGCCAGATTGCCTTCTGAGTGTCTGTTTTCCCAAATGAAAAACTCACCAGCCATGAGTGGTGTGGGTGCTCTGCTTAGCAAGTGTCCCAATCCCACAGGGAAAACTTCTGCCAGTCTGGTAGGTGTTTGATGGTCTTGCCTTCTTCCTGTTTCCCTCCTTACTACCCAGTTTTCGTGTGTATTGGCTGTGTCTGTTTATCATTCTGGGAAAGCTCTCTCGCCTGATGGTGGGTGGGATGATTCACTGCTTCTTGCTGGCTGATGGGAGTTTTCCTGTGTTACTGGGGCAGAGATCATGTGTTGCTTGCATGTGTTGTGAATGTGGTCTTCTGATCTGTAGCTCTCTCTCCCTCCTCTCTCTCTCTCTCTCTCTCTCTCTCTCTCTCTCTCTAGTACTAGGGTGTGAACACAGGGCCTCATGCTTGCCTTTATGGTGACTTCTGGTGAACAAATGCTCTTAGTTTGTCTCCTACCTTCTTATGAAACGTTAATAAGGAAAAGCAGCAAAGGAATAAAACAACAGCCCCACATACTCTGATGGACCAGAACACAGCGTCCAGCTGATTTTTCCAACATCAGTCTAGATGTTGCTGTGAGGGCGTTTCCATGGGATAAACATTTAAATCAGTACACTTGGAGTAGAGCAGGTGATCCCATACGGTGGGGCCTTGTCTAGTTAGAGCAAAGACTTGGGCTTGCTACAGAAGAAGCCTGAGTTTCCAGACTGCTGGTCTCGCCTTGCAGAATCCAGGTTTGTCAGCCTGACCCAAAACCCCCTCTCTCTCTCTTTAAGAAGATAGGTATGTAATAGATATATGTATCTATTATGTTGGGATATTGACTCCGTTTCTCTGGAGAGCCCTAATAGACCCAAAACCTACAATAAAACAATGATAGGCATTTGTTTGTTCTCTCTCTCTCATAATTGCAATGGAATGTTTATCATTTAAATTACAAACATCATGACACATTCAAGCATAAACAGACAAATAGTTCAGCATATTCAGCGATCATCTCCCAAACTGGAGGATGGTCTACAGCAAAGCCACAATCTACCCTCACATCTAAGTAGGTTAATGGCAACATAACGTGGGTCCCGTTTCCCCATGTCCCCAGGTGGCTCTCTTTGCTGATTTGCTCAAGGTCACACCCAACCAAGCCCTACTCTGGGTACATCTCCTCAGCCTTCAGCATTTATAGCCACTGCCTTGCTACAGAGCCTGGCTCAGCTGCTGGAAGTCCCCGGCTTCTGGAGCCCAGAAGTCTACTCCTCCCCGTCTCCCTGTCACTGAAGTCAGAGCTACAGCTAGAGCACATCCTCCCAGGTGATGCCATGAGGCTTCGAGCTCATGTGACCTGCTAAGGTCACCAGGGAACATTCAGACATATCCATTTGCTGTGGTTTCAATGTATGCGTCCCCTAAAAAAAAATTCATGAAACTTCTGCAGCAGTATTAGACATAGGGGGCCTTGGAATGGTTAGATCGTGAGAGCCATACCCTCAAGAACTGAATTTGTGACTTATAAAGGAGATTTCACACAGCGTTTGCCCCTCTCCACCCCATCCCTTCCACCACGAAAGGACACAGCATTCAGACCCTGCAGAGGGCACAGCAGCAAGACACCATCATTAGATGCTGACCCTGCCCGTGTCGTGGTCTTGGCCTTCGGAAGTGTGACAAATAAACTATTATTTATAAATTTCCCAGTCTGTGGTATTTTGTTATAGAAAAATGAGCATATTTCATTATAAAGTTGTATCTTCTCTTTGCAAGTAGTCACCAACCTGTGGGTGTCACAGGACCTCCAGCTCCCTGGGCAAGTATTCTCCTCCTAGGTGGAGTTTCAGCTAAATGCCCTTGCCTGGACCCTCCTCTCATTGGACATTGCAAGTGGCCCGCTTCTGATTGCACGGCATGGAAAATAGCCCCACGAACCTTTCCTAGCATCACAGTCAGTGACAGGACTTGTGCCCTCCCCTGCCCCCTGGCCTCCCAGAGCTGAAATCCCTCTGGTGGGATCTGAGAGCTGAGGTGCCATTCATCCTCAAGGGAGGCTGCAGGTGTTCCCTGGGGAGTCAAGAAGATCACAGTCCACAGGGTTTACCTGCTATGAGCACAGGGCAGGACCCAAGAGTTCTAGGCCAAAGCATCAGGCCCTGTCCCTGCTATCAGTTGAGCACTCGGCATGGCTCATTTTACAATGAGAAGGCCCATGGCTAGAGGCACCTCCTCCTGATGACTGTGTCTCAGTTTCCTTATATAGCAAATGGGATGAGATAGCACTAGGTCTGTACCTGCTGGGACCTATTGGAACCGGTACCATCAGAGTGAGAGCCCAGGGAGGAGGGGGCTTAGCGCACAGAAGGCTGAAGGGTGTGGCTGGGCCCCGCCGTTGTTTCCCTATGTTGTAAAATCTTGCAGTGTGTCCCTGTATGCAGGAGCAAGTCCAATGTGCATGAGCAGGTTAGAGTTGAGAGTAAGGTGCACACCAGCTTAAGAAAGGTGTCACCAGGCTTGCATGTCCACCCTTGTGGGGTCCCCAGCAGCTTACTGCTCAGTGTTGAAAACAGGATTGGCCAGCATGGCCCAGTGAGGGAAGGCTCCTGGAGGACAGGTGCTAAGTAGGGCCTCTGGGTTAGGTCTGGCTATGGGTTGTAGGGAACTTGCTAGAAACTCTCTTAGGAAGTGGGAGGAGGAACCACGTGGCCATCCCAAGAGCCTGTGGCCAGCCCCAGTAAGGACGATGGAAGACAGTTGTGGGTCCAGACACAGGACAGCTGGCAGGACTGCAGCTGCCCCAACAGCACCAGCACCACCTCCTGTACTCAGGGGCAGGTCAGGGATGCTGTGGGCTCAGAGTGTCCCCTGATGATGCCAGGAGTGGACAGTGGCTGCTGCTGCTGAGAGGATGGCTGCCCTCCGTACGTGGCTTGGGGTGGAGGAGGACTCTATGGAACACTGTGAGGACACTGGAGCAGACGATAGCAACTAACGTCAAGGCCTGGTATAACGGACGCCACACACGCTCACCCACCAGAGTAAGTCAGAAGCCAGTAACGAGATATCTTAGAGCATTTATTCTAAACAAAGAAGAAAAAGGAGCTTGCGATGGAAATTTAAGAAGACTTACAAGTGAGTGATATTGAAGAAGTCTCATTGGTGTGGCAAAATGGAGTCTGGTCTGTAAGTTAAAGAGCAGAGCACTCCTGGAGGAAGAAGGCACCATAAGCACAACAGGACAAGAAGGAGCACAAGGAAGGAAACCGTGACATCAGAGCAGAAGTTAAAGAAATGCTGGGAGAGCAGTGGGGAGGCCCCAGCCAACGCTTCCTGGAAAAGATGAATAAAACCAGCAAATCAGAGCAAACGAAAGCAAAAGCATTCGAGGAAAGGCCAGAGGGCATAAGGACAGACTCACAGGGAGGAGCGTTAGATAAATTCCAATGAAGTTAAGAATGCTGGTGCTGCACGTACCAGCAGGTACACTACTGGCATTTCTCTCAAAGAAAGCTGGAAGGGGGAGTCATAGCAGCCTTCTTTCTGTTCCTTTTTTTTTTGAGACAGTGTATCACTATGTAGCCCAGGCTAGTCTCGAACTTGAAACCCTCCTGCCTCAGCCTCCTGAGTGCTGGGATTACAGGCATGAATTCACCATGCCCCAGCATGGTAACTTTCTTGTTTTTTACAGTAGTCCCAAACTGGAATCAGCCAAAATGGGTCTTAAAAGTGAACAATTAACCAACCCTGGCCAGGTCCATACTGAGGCCAATCAGTCAGCAACAGAAGGAACGAAGTGTTGATGAGTGCAGCGGCATGGCTGACCCAAAAGGATTGCAGTGAGTGGTGAAAGCAAGCCCAGAAGGCCACGTGGTATGTGACAATCAGTATCAAATATTTTCAAACTGACAGAGTGTAGAGCTGCAGAGGAGATTGGTCTTGTCTGGGAAGATGAGTAAGTGGCCATAAATGGGGATGGGTGGGTGAGAATGAAGTTTTGACTGTTGTAGTGGTTATGTGAAGCCGCACCTGTCATGTGACTGCATAGACACACACACGTAC